CTAAACTAAAAGCAAGATGCATTTATAAATTAATAAGAATTAAATTAATTTTAGAGAATCTACAAACGATACCACATTTATATGGTCTAAATTCACCTCACCTCAAATACTCAAGTTGGCGCATATAAAATTGCGTACTTTTTCTTAAAATTATCCCATTTTTGCCATGTTTCGTATTCCTACATTATTAAAAATTATAAAGTATACCAATTAACTCTTAATACGGACATTTTTAACATTTATCCAAAATAAAATAGCAGTGTACATTGCATGAAACTAAGAATTGCAAAATTTTTATTTTTTTATATTTAAAAATATTGCATAGATTATGGCGTTGCGTTAAGAAAATCTTATTGTTGTAGAAAGATTAAATTGCAAAATATCGTCAATTGTGCAAAAATGAAAAAAAAAAAAAATGTTATAAAAATTTTTACCTTATATATACTAAACAATTTACCGTTATACAGTAAGAACTAAAATAAATATACATTTTAAATGATTACAAAAATTAAAATTCAGGATAAGAGAGGATTTCGGACAAAAATTATACCACAAAAGTAAAATAAAAAAGAAATTATTATACAAAAAGAAGAAAATAAAAAACAACATTTTCAAAAGTTTCTAGTAATCTCAATGTGTTGTTCCTTATGAGAAAGGTAGAAACAGTAGCACTTAGTTAAATACTTAAGTATAAAGATATGAATTTGTTATCCTTTTTTTTTTTGTTTTTCTTCTTTACATTTCTGTGCTTATCTATGTATGATATTTTTATTTTTCCCAAAGAAAATAATAATTGTATGAATTGTATAATATGAATGTTAAAAAGTTTATGAAAATAATAAGGAAACAGAAGATAGAAATATAAAAAAATAAAAAAAATAGGAAAAAAGTAGAAAGGAACTTGCCTCAACAAAAAGGCTAACGAAAGTTTTCATCACCTTTTTAAAACTATCCACATTTCCATTCTCAGATGCATACGGAGAGAGCTTGTGTTTATGACATACTTAACCGCAATGCTATTGTTAATATTAAAGTGCTCTTTCATAGCAAGAAAAACAAAAAATAAAAATTGTTGTGAGGTTTTTTTTCCTCATATTTTTTTTTTTTTATTTTTCTTTGTAACAAAATTTCATTTTCTTATATTTATAGTTTTCTACATTATTATATTAAAGGACATAATGTATGTTTGTATATTTTGTAATATTATATGTATATATTTACTGATATCTCATGTACAAATATAAATTTTCCTGTATGTGTAGAAGTTCAGTTTATATTTTGTTGTTATTTTACTACTGCTACTACTACTATTACTGTGTTATTATTATTTTTTATTGTTATTGTTATTATTATTGTTGATGTTGTTCTTTTGGTTAAAAAAAAAAAAAAAAATTTTTTATGATGAGAATTTTTCCGTATGTCCTTTGATATTATCCTTTACTACATATTACATGCATATGTATTTAACTATGTATATATATAATGTACTCAATTACAGTTGAAGATTCTTTTGTTTTCCTTTTGAAGTTTTCCATTTTTCTGTTGTTTTTTTTTTCTTTGTAAATTGTTGCTATTATGAATAAGTTAGTCATCACTACTAAATTATTATTCCAGGGTTGAACTTTTACCTACATACCCTGATATAGTAATATATCAAGTGTATGATTTTAGCAAAATGAATATTAAAAATTAAAATTTTTTTTATTTTCTTTAGAAAATTGACTGAACAAAAAATTTTTTTGAGTTGCATTTTTTCGTAATCTATTTTTATCAGAAAAAATTTAATTAATTTTTATATGCATATATTTGGTATCTGTGCTGAATTCTATAACGTTGATTTTGTTAAAATAAAATTTGGTGACATTTTAATATTTATTGATAAAATACTGATAATTTTTACGAGGGAAATTTGTCAGAATTAAAAAAGGACAAATTACAAATATTTCAGTCAACTAAGTTAGCTAGTTTCTATACCCAATCCAAGGCGGAGAAACTCAAAATTCGACCAATTTAAAATGTAGGTAATTAAATAAACTATTTACAAAATGTAAATGTACTCTAAAAAATTCAAAGCGATAAATTTCATTTGGAAGATCAAATATAATTAAGCACATTGGCATGAAAAGGACAATTTTCATGTCGAAAAAACTCTGATAAACATAAGCTGGAAATAACATCGAATTTTTCAGATTCAAATTTATGCACTTCTTTTCTATAAAAAAATTTATGTTATACCATTTGATATTTTATTAATTCTATATTTTTTAAATGAGAGTTTTAGTTCTTGAGTGGTTTATCAACTTCAATTAAAATTCGAAGCAAATTTAAATTTTAAATTTCAAATGTTTCAAATTCATTTTTCAAATTTTCATGTTTAATATGTATTTGTGTATGTAATGTGTTATTATACTCTATAAAAATTATTTAATGAGTTCAATCCTGAAATTGTTATAATTTTAAATTTTTTCCTATTTAAAATCTATAAATTTTTTTTATTGCGAAAAATCTTAATAGGGTTAAAACCCACAAAAAAAAATGCTCTTTTTTTTTTTGATGTATCCAATAGAATGTACAACACTTATATGTCATATTATGTCTATGGTATGTAGATTGTACCATTTTTATTGTTTCAGAAAATAAGGTATACTTTTTTGTATTTACCCACAATATTCGACATAGGACCCATATACATATACATATACTCGTACATTATATACTTTATTGTCTATTGCTACTTATTTATATTTGAAGTACGTGTTTATTTGTATGTCTCCTCTTTTACTTTTCATATTTATTTTATTTATTTAACTGTAATTTTTGTAGTTTTGTGCTCTCATTTTATATTTGATATTGTGTAAATAATATATAATATGTGTGTGTATATAAAACTACAACCTTATACGTTTTACTAAATGAAAGGTTACCGCATCGTTAATGTGATAAGTATGACATTTGAAATTTATTAAGTTTACATTGTTGTCAAATGCAATGTGCAAGTGACATATTTAATAAATTCGGATCAAACCAATGGTTTGTAAAGAAGCACTATTCTCTTAAGCAATTGCTTAATCTAAAATAATTAAGCAAATCATTTTTAATTAACAATCTAGTAGCTATATATTGAATTCCTTTTATTCATATACCAAAAAATATTAGGTTATTGCATATATTTAGGACCAGGCAAAAAAAATAAACCAGAAAGCGAGCACGTAATGACCAAATTATTGATGGTTAAAAATATTTAATGCCATTAAAAAATATTACTAAATAATTTAAAAATATTTTTTGATGGCATTGAATTTACCGTTAGCATTTGGCTTTTATAAAAATTTGGAAAATCCTGTAGTTTCTTGTATGTAAATAACAAATTTTGAAAATCTGCTAAGGTAATAGTTTGGGAGGGGATAATAAAAGGCATTTTAAGGACTTTTAGAGGCTTTAGCTTTCAGAAGGGGCATATGAGGGAAAACTTTTTCCCAAAAAAATAAGTAGAAGATCTCTCCGTGTGGTATACAGTTTCCGCTAAATACTTATATCTTAATACTTCAATAATAAAATTTTTTTTTTGTTTCTAAATACATTATGTAAAAAGAGACATACTGAAGGACGGAATATGGAAAAAGGAAACTAATAAGTACTTTTTTTTCCAAATTTCCTTGGAAATGTGCTAAAAATACCTTTCACTGAATAAATTGCATAAAATGCAAAAAAAAAAAATTACATTTAGAACAAAAATATTAAAAATTTTATTTTTTGAATTTTTATAAGTTTGTGCGATAGTGTTTAAAACATCTAATTTTTCTATTTAAAATTTCAATTAACATTAAAGTTTAAGAAAGAAAATTAAAAATTGCAAATTATTTTGCAACAAGCATCTAAAAATTTTCTCAAATACATTTGCATCATTCCTCAAATAGTTGCCCAATACTTACACAATTAAGGAATAATTAAAATCAAAGTCCATTCATGTATAGAACACTCAATCAAGACTAAATAATTGTGAAAAATTCTTTTTTGTCTATTTCACGGACAAAAATAAAATTATAAAGCAATTCATTTTTGAGGTTGAAACTGAATGGTTTTATAATTTTATTTTAATCGACCTTATGAATTTTAACATAAACAATGGAAGTAAAAGCAATATTTGTTAAGTGAAATATAATGTCACTTGCACTGGTCTTATTTTGTTACTCCTGATAGTAATTTTTGATTTGGAAGATTACTATAAGAAAATCGAAAGAAAATAAAGAAGAATTATAAAATGTTAAAAAGAATAAAATTTGAAATACAAAAAAAAATTGATAACCTATACATATTGTAGCATTATGATGTTGGCTTTGCCCCCTGTACTTATAAATTACAAAATAATATTCAGTCACTTTTATAATTTCGAACATGTTATAAATAATTTTCTATATAGATAAATTAAATGTTGGTTTTAATTAATAATTTATTTTCATTCTTAATCAAAGATTTCATAAAATGTCGAAGTGACGTTTTATTCAATTAAATATAAAAAATTAAAATGTCATATTGTAGTATAAATATTTGTGAGAAGAGCAGGAAACTCTAATATGACTCATCATTTGATTTTTTTTTTTTTTTGTAAATAGTTGTAAATTGTAATTTTTCTCTTTATTATTATTGTTATTATTATTTTTATTTTCATTTATTTTCTATTGTATTTTAACTATTTAGGTATATATGTATATGTGGATATGTAAATGAAAATATATTATTCTAATAATATTTATGTGAATATGTATATATGTATGTATGTATATCTTTATTGTTTTTGTCTATTTTTTATTTTACTTCTAAAATATTACTTTTTTTGTTTTTGTTAACGTAATACATATACTGTTATTAAATATATAATATATATATGTATATATACATATATTTATTTATTTATTTTTATATTGGTATATAATTTTCATTTTATGTGATTCTTTAATTTTTGTTTCATTATTTTTTCCTATTGTTTTTTATTTTTTCAGGTTTAACGATTGCTCTGAAAGATGTTCGAGTAACGGTCCCAGCAGCTGTTAAACGTGGTGATAATGCCAACTTAACATGTCATTATGATTTGGAAAATGATACTTTGTACTCAATTAAATGGTATAAGGGTAAAAGAGAATTTTACCGTTATACACCAAAAGAAGATATTCCCATGAAAGTATTTACAGTTACCGGAATAAATGTAGAGGTAAATTATTATACATACAGTAAAATAAAAACTTATGTTATAAAAATAATATAAAAATTATTATATAAATAATATAATATTATAAAATTTATTTATATTACTATTCTAATGGGGGTATACTCTTATACATATATATTTTGAGTTTGTTCATGTATGTGCATAAACATAAACGCACATATAAACGCACTAGCATTAATATTAAAGATGTTCCAAATATGTATATATATGAGTACATTATTCAAAAATATATAGATTAAGGTTATTTCATTCTTTTCATTAAAGATGTTCCAAATATGTATATATATGAGTACATTATTCAAAAATATATAGATTAAGGTTATTTCATTCTTTTCATTATTATTATCCTTTCTTTATAATATTTCATTTGATTTAAATTACATTTATGTGAACATGATGCATACATGGGTGTATGTGTGTGTATTTATTTATACACAATATAATATTTATTATTGTATTTTTATTTTTATAATTTTTTTTTTGAAAAGAAGAGGGAAAGAGTTAAAAAATTTTTTTTTCTCTTTCGCTTTTGTTTTATTTTACTACTTATCTTTTATTTTTCTTTTCTTTTATTATAATTTTTTTCTTTTATTATTATTTACTTATTTAGTTAAAGTTAAATTATACTTTTATTTTAGAATTGAATTAGTTATTTAAAATAAATATTGTAAAAGAGAGATGAAATGTTATTAAAAATATGATAAAAAGACATGTATGTAGGTTTGTCTATTTTATATATGAGTTATTGTGGGTGTATATGCTTTATATATTGTGTAATTTAAAATATTTTATTATTTGTACATAGCATGTTCATTATAATATAGAGTAGGGAACAGGAAATTTTGTATTATAAAGAGAGAGAGAGAGAGAAAAAAAGTTGTAAAAAACCATAGTTTTTATACTCTCTTTCATTTTTTTGTTTTCCTGTCTAGAACTTATGGTACACCAAAAATGATGAAGATAATAATGGTTATATGTTATGTTATAAAACGACCTTTGTGCTGTTATTAACCAAAAAAAAAAATGATAAAAATAAAAATTGAGAGAAATTGGGAAAAAAATAAGTTTCTGCTCTTTTCCATTTTTGTCCTTTTAATAAAAGAATTTTTTTTTTTGACTTCATGTGTCACCAAATCAACACTTAAAATCGTTAATAATAACATTAACAATTGAAATGAATTTTATATTTTGAAACTGTTTTAATATAATCCAACCAAGGAGTGGAATAATTATGATTTAAATTGGACTTTGATATTTGTTTCATTTTTTTCAAAAGAGAAGAAAATTACATAGACATTTGAAAATTTTAAAAGGATCATATAAAAATTTTGATTTTAGACTATTGTATTAGCCATTTTATTGTATAAATATGGAAAGGATTCATATATATTGATTTATGTAGTTAAAATTTTTCATTTTAAGATTTACGATAAATTTATTATTACAAAATTAATGAAAATTAATAAAGCAATATGAAAATACGTGCAATTATTTGGATTTTCTTGTCATTACTTATCATTTCACTATTGTAATCTCAATAGATTTTAAAATACTCGATTCCTTACATACAACTACTTTAAATTCTGAATAATTCCATAATTTAGGATTTGCGGTTTATGATGTAAAATTATTTCAAATTTTCAATTTCGAAGATTAAATTTTTTATTCTGTTAATGTTAATAATGCAAGAAAAAACTATAAGGATAATGTAAGAAAAATAAATGATAATTTCTTTAATTTTGATCCAAAAACTTTTATTTCTAGAAAATTTGAATTTGAAATTTGAGATTATAAATTTAAATTTACTGTTTGTAGAAATGCTTACACATTATTTGAAGTAATTTTTCAATTTTAATTTAATAAACTTGATAACACATGAAATTTATCTTAACACCTTTTCCAGACTCAATTATATTTCATACGTTTATTTCTGTTTATTTATTATTAGGAAATTAAATCGTAACTTAAAACAACTATTAATTAAGTAACAATAATCGCTTAAGTTATTGATAAATAAAAAATTTTAAAAATTTTCACTTTAATTGCTTTAATTGTTGGAAAACTATTAGAGATGTGTCTAATTCCGTTGCTAATCAATTTTAAATTAAGCAATAAAAATATGGAAAGCTGTGAATATTATTTGGGTCCTCTTACAAATCCATAAGCTTTTGAATATAAATTGGAATATTTATTAATGAGCAGCTAAATAAAGTTCTAAATAAATTTCATATAAAAAATGGCTTTCCCCGGAAAGTATGCAATTATTTTTTAAAATTTAATTTTTCAAGAATTTACTAAATTCTGTGTTGATAAAGAAATCAAATAACTTGATCCATTCAATATTTCGCAAAATTAACCAAGTGAAATTGGAAAGGGTCAAGAAAATTAAATATATATATAGTTTTAAAAGTTCTATAGCTCATACCAATATTGTTCTATTTTCAATTTTACATTGTTCTGGAAGTTTTAAAGATTGGTTTCACAGATGTAAAGACGAAATCTTTATAAATAATCGTATTGAGTGCGATAACTTATTATAAAGTGTGCTTGTTGAATGAACATTTATAAAATTTTCACATACAAATATACACATATATATGTCATTGAATGTGTAATTGTATATGCATGCTTGTTTGTAAATATATGGTGATGAGTTCCCTTTTATCCATCTATAGATAAAATATTCTGAAAGGTCCCTTCTTTTTGTGGTTTCTTTTTCTATTTTAATTTCAAATGTGTTCAGTTCAAATGTGCCCTTGTGCTTTTTTTCGATTTTCTTAAAAAAAAAAATAAAAAACTAAAAAAAAAAAAATATTTTTTTTTTTAATGTTTTTGTTTCCATCTTATCGGCACTCTTTTGTTGCTTCTTTATTTCTTTTTCGACTACCGAAAAAAAAATTTTGAAAAAAAAAATAGGAGAAAAAAAAAATAAAAGGAAAACGGAAGTCTAGTCGCTTCAAGTGAAATTTTGAATAATGGTTAAGGACAAAATAGGATATAATGTGTCATTTTTTGTATCTCCTTATATTTTCGTATAGATGACGTCATTGTCAAGAAACATTCGAAAAAGAAAATTTATTCTGTTTGTATATGTGTGAATATTTGAGTACATATGTGTGTATAAAAAGTTAGAAAATGTGACATCGTAACCAAAATATGTAAATCTTGTTTTTATATATTTGGATTTTTCTTGTAAAATCCGGGGGTTTCGAATCTTAAAAATTTTTAAATTAAATTTTGTACACTAGTTGGATTAAGTACCGAAAAGAAGCTTTTAATTCTTCAATTTTCTTAATTTAAAAAATAGCTGATTTGCTAATTTTTTTACAATTAGTTACACATCTTCAACTTTAGAAAAATTAGAATTGAGTTAGAAAGTAAGTAATTTTTAATAATAAACTTTTATCCTCTTCCCTTGGAAATGCAAAAAACAATAGTTTTATATTAAAATATTCATATTTTCTTATTTAGAATTACATCAACAATGAAGGGTTTCTGCATCTTATTTAGTGACATAATCTGGCACTAAAGTACATTGTGTGTTTTAATTTATTACTATCATCAAGGGGATGTGTTCATATTTGTGATTTTTAAACATTTTTTTCCTTCATAGTAATCAAAGATCATGAGGTCATTAAAGTCTATAGTATATAACAAAAATTTTTAATTCAGTTTAAAAAAAATATTGTAGAATTTAAGGAAAATTATTTCAAATTGCTTTTTATATAAATTTGATAAAATTTTCTACAAAAACTTTAAATTTGTGCAAAATTCCCCATAAAAACAGTTTAATTCCTTTGCCTTTTTATGATGTTTCCAACATATTTTGCAATTTTTCGAAAAATTTAAACACATTTCTTAATCAAGGTTTACAACGATACTAATTTTCGTATAATTTTTTCTTAAAATTAAAAATATCCTTACTAAATCATTTTAAAAAGTTGTAAATCCTAAATAAACTATTTTATATGTTGAGCTGTGTGTGTATGAGTATGTAATATACATTTATATTTGTTTGAACATTTCCAGTATCCTTTAATAATAAATTCTATTTTTTTTATATATTTTGTAAATGCTTTTAAGAAACTATCTCTCATCTTTTTGTATGAGGAAAAAAAAATCTTTATGTAGGTATATGTAACACATTAATATTTATAATATTGTTAGTTTTATTTAATATTTGTATATGTGGAACACATATAACACATATACTTCTATTTTATGTGTTACATTAAAGGTATACGTGTATGTGTGTCATTTCAAATGTGAATATATTTACTGAAAAAAAAAATTTTTTCTTATCATAAAAAAAATTTAAAATAGAGGAATTTTTACTGTTGGGTTAATTTTTAGCACTATTTAAAAAAAATTTTGGAAAAAGTGCTTGTTATTTTCACTTTGGTCGTCCGTCCGTCCGTCCATCCGTCGACGTGTTTACAAAATTTCTACATCCTTGAAAATTGAAAGTTGACATTTCATATGTACATAGACCTTAACTAAAAACTTATCTCCGTAGAAGAAAATTTTTACCTATCTCCCTTCCACCCCTTCACTAGAAGTTATGGCTACCCGAAACCTATAACAAAAATGGTAATTTTAACTATTTATTATAGCAAAAACACAAACTTTCAAATTTTCTGCAAATGCAAAAAAGTAGTGGCTGGCTTCTTCTACCATATACCATAGTTGGATTTCAAACAAAACATTACGAGTATACCGTTAAAATTTACCGTTATCTCAAATCTGTTTCTTTTAAATTTTTGATATCATTTTTCGTCTATCGTTTACAATAAATTATGGGGCAGCTTTTAGATACTAATAAATTGTTAATTTCGTTTTTTTTCTACCGCCATCCCCTCTTAAGTTATCACTAATCGAAATTAGCAAAATTTGTAATATTTAAATTTAACTGCCAGCTCTTCGAAATTTCTGTTAATGCAGAAAGGTAACGGTAAATACCATGCCATTAAAAAATATTGTTA